ATTTAGATATTATTAATGTTATTATAATCTGTAAGTTTCATTGAAATCGTTTGATAATTGTGGTCTGTAGCCGTGCCACATGAAATGTGTGGTAACCTGATATCTCGGAAACCGCTAACCGGAAGTGGCCGAAATTTTGGCTAGTTTGAGATATTATAAATGTTATTATAATCTTCAAGTTTTATTGAAATCGGTTGATAATTGTGGTCTGTAGCCGTGCCACATGAAATGTGTGGTAACCTGATATCTCGGAACCGCTAACCGGAAGTGGCCGAAATTTTGGCTAGTTTGAGATATTATTAATGTTATTATAATCTGTAAGTTTAATTGAAATCGGTGGATAATTGTGGTCTGTAGCCGTGCCACAAGAAATGTGTGGTAGCCTGATATCTCGGAAACGGCTAACCGGAAGTGGCCGAAATTTTGGCTAGTTTGAGATATTTTTATTGGTTTTATAATCTGTAAGTTTAATTGAAATCGGTGGGTAATTGTGGTCTGTAGCCGTGCCACATGAAATGTGTGGTAGCCTGATATCTCGAAAATCGCTAACTGGAAGTGGCCAAAATTTTGGCTAGTTTGAGATATTTTTATTGGTTTTATAATCTGTAAGTTTAATTGAAATCGGTGGGTAATTGTGGTCTGTAGCCGTGCCACATGAAATGTGTGGTAGCCTGATATCTCGAAAATCGCTAACTGGAAGTGGCCAAAATTTTGGCTAAATTGAGATATTATTAATGTTATTATAATCTGTAAGTTTAATTGAAATCGGTGGATAATTGTGGTCTGTAGCCGTGCCACAAGAAATGTGTGGTAGCCTGATATCTCGGAAACGGCTAACCGGAAGTGGCCGAAATTTTGGCTAGTTTGAGATATTTTTATTGGTTTTATAATCTGTAAGTTTAATTGAAATCGGTGGGTAATTGTGGTCTGTAGCCGTGCCACATGAAATGTGTGGTAGCCTGATATCTCGAAAATCGCTAACTGGAAGTGGCCAAAATTTTGGCTAGTTTGAGATATTTTTATTGGTTTTATAATCTGTAAGTTTAATTGAAATCGGTGGGTAATTGTGGTCTGTAGCCGTGCCACATGAAATGTGTGGTAGCCTGATATCTCGAAAATCGCTAACTGGAAGTGGCCAAAATTTTGGCTAAATTGAGATATTATTAATGTTATTATAATCTGTAAGTTTCATTGAAATCGTTTGATAATTGTGGTCTGTAGCCGTGCCACATGAAATGTGTGGTAACCTGATATCTCGGAAACCGCTAACCGGAAGTGGCCGAAATTTTGGCTAGTTTGAGATATTATTAATGTTATTATAATCTGTAAGTTTAATTCAAATCGGTGGATAATTGTGGTCTGTAGCCGTGCCACATGAAATGTGTGGTAACCTGATATCTCCGAAACCGCTAAACTGAAGTGGCCGAAAGTTTGGCTAGTTTGAGATATTATTATTGTTTTTATAATCTGTAAGTTTAATTGAAATCGGTAGATAATTGTGGTCTGTAGCCGTGCCACATGAAATGTGTGGTAGCCTCATATCTCGAAAATCGCTAACCGGAAGTGGCCAAAATTTTGGCTAAATTGAGATATTATTATTGTTATTATAATCTGTAAGTTTCATTGAACTCGGTTGATAATTGTGGTCTGTAGCCGTGCCACATGAAATGTGTTGTAACCTGATATCTCCGAAACCGCTAAACTGAAGTGGCCGAAATTTTGGCTAGTTTGAGATATTTTTATTGTTTTTATAATCTGTAAGTTTAATTGAAATCGGTGGATAATTGTGGTCTGTAGCCGTGCCACATGAAATGTGTGGTAACCTGATATCTCGGAAACCGCTAAACTGAAGTGGCCGAAATTTTGGCTAGTTTGAGATATTATTATTGTTTTTATAATCTGTAAGTTTAATTGAAATCGGTAGATAATTGTGGTCTGTAGCCGTGCCACATGAAATGTGTGGTAGCCTCATATCTCGAAAATCGCTAACCGGAAGTGGCCAAAATTTTGGCTAAATTGAGATATTATTAATGTTATTATAATCTGTAAGTTTCATTGAACTCGGTTGATAATTGTGGTCTGTAGCCGTGCCACATGAAATGTGTGGTAACCTGATATCTCCGAAACCGCTAAACTGAAATGGCCGAAATTTTGGCTAGTTTGAGATATTTTTATTGTTTTTATAATCTGTAAGTTTAATTGAAATCGGTGGATAATTGTGGTCTGTAGCCGTGCCACATGAAATGTGTGGTAACCTGATATCTCGGACACCGCTAAACTGAAGTGGCCGAAATTTTGGCTAGTTTGAGATATTATTAATGTTTTTATAATCTGTAAGTTTCATTGAGATCGTTTGATAATTGTGGTCTGTAGCCTTGCCACATGAAATGTGTGGTAACCTGATATCTCGGAAACCGCTAACCGGAAGTGGCCGAAATTTTGGCTAGTTTGAGATATTATTAATGTTATTATAATCTGTACGTTTAATTGAAATCGGTAGATAATTGTGGTCTGTAGCCGTGCCACATGAAATGTGTGGTAACCTGATATATCCGAAACCGCTAACCGGAAGTGTCCGAAATTTTGGTTAGTTTGAGATAGTATTAATGTTTTTATAATCTGTAAGTTTAATTGAAATCAGTTGATAATTGTGGTCTGTAGCCGTGCAACATGAAATGTGTGGTAACCTGATATTTCGCCAACCGCTAACCGGAAGTGGCCGAAATTTTGAAATTTTTGCTAAATCGAGATATTATTAATGTTATTATAATCTGTAAGTTTCATTGAACTCGGTTGATAATTGTGGTCTGTAGCCGTGCCACATGAAATATGTGGTAACCTGATATCTCGGAAACCGCTAACCGGAAGTGGCCGAAATTTTGGCTAGTTTGAGATATTAAGACTCTTATTATAATCTGTAAGTTTCATTGAAATCGGTTGATAATTGTGGTCTGTAGCCGTGCCACATGAATTGTGTGGTAACCTGATATCTCCGAAACCGCTAACCGGAAGTGGCCGAAATTTTGGCTAGTTTGAGATATTATTAATGTTATTATAATCTGCAAGTTTCATTGAAATCGGTTGATAATTGGGGTCTGTAGCCGTGCCACATGAAATGTGTGGTAACCTGATATCTCGGAAACCGCTAACCGGAAGTGGCCGAAATTTTGGCTATTTTGAGATATTATTAATGTTATTATAATCTGTAAGTTTCATTGAAATCGGTTGATAATTGTGGTCTGTAGCCGTGCCACATGAATTGTGTGGTAACCTGATATCTCGGAAACCGCTAACCGGAAGTGGCCGAAATTTTGGCTATGCTGAGATATTATTAATGTTATTATAATCTGTAAGTTTCATTGAAATCGGTTGATAATTGTGGTCTGTAGCCGTGCCACATGAATTGTGTGGTAGCCTGATATCTCCGAAACCGCTAACCGGAAGTGGCCGAAATTTTGGCTAGTTTGAGATATTACTAATTTTATAATAATCTGTAAGTTTCATTAAAATCAGTTGATAATTGTGGTCTGTAGCCGTGCCACATGAAATGTGTGGTAACCTGATATCTCGGAAACCGCTAACCGGAAGTGGCCGAAATTTTGGCTAGTTTGAGATATCATTAATGTTATTATAAGCTGTACGTTTCATTGAAATCGGTTGATAATTGTGGTCTGTAGCCGTGCCACATAAAATGTGTGGTAACCTGATATCTCGGAAACCGCTAACCGGAAGTGGCCGAAATTTTGGCTATTTTGAGATATTATTAATGTTATTATAATCTGTAAGTTTCATTGAAATCGGTTAATAATTGTGGTCTGTAGCCGCAGGGCTATTTTGACATTCTTGCTTACCACATGTGGCAAATAGCCACTGCCGTTTCCAATATTTACATCGTTTTCGTCCATTTTCATTTTGTCACTGCCGCCATGCGCTGATCATAGCCGTTTTGTGGGAATATTTATGCAAATATTTAAACGACTAGATTGAAGAAAAAACATATCTGAGTGTGATCATTTACTAAGAGACCGATTTTTACGATTACGCTGAGCGAGGCAGATGTAAGCCCCGCCTCTTTCTTGTTTAAGTCCCTCCCATTTTATTTGAAGGTCGAGTTTAGAAAGGACTATTTATTGTTAATAATAAAAGAAATCTCAAGTGCTACTACACTTACGTACACCTAGTGGTTTCCGTGGTCCTAGTGTGTGATCATCAATAGTCGCTCTTAACACATCATGAAAATGTCAAGTCTCTACGACCACGGGAGGTAGTCGATGAATTTCCCTATTTCTGGAATATACTGTCTATAATATTCTAAAAACATGAATCGCTTACTGAAATATCATTTAATTTACAAAATATTATTTTCCAATGTAAATTAATTCATAGAAATACTTTATAATCTTTCAAAATTAAGAAAAAGTCTCGCTACTAAGCGAGGCCGATTTCTTTCAACAACATATAGATTTATTTTAATTTCTTCCAATTCATTTCAACAACATATAGGAAAAGGTACGAATCAATTTGAGGTACAAATCACGTGTGTATTCTAATTCTCGTTAGGCAGCCATTTTTATAAATTTAGCGCAGCCTTTGGATTTTTGAAAAGGAACTAATTAATCAATTTGAGGTACAAATCTCGTGCCTTTTTCTAATTCTGGTTCGGCATTTTCAATATTTCTTTCAACTGATTTCAACAACATAGGAAAAGGTACGAATAATTTTGAGGTACGAAGTAAGGTACGAATGAACTAAGTACGAAACAGCCAGGTTACGAAACAGCCTGCTCCCATCCAAATACATCTACAGCGCCTTCATCGGGTCTGTCGAGAGATCGAAATAGTTATTTGTTATATTATAAACATTTTTAAATGTACGTATAATACATTATAATATAATTTTAAAAAATAAATTAGTTTTGTGGGAGGAATCGGGGATTTTCGAAGTGAAATCCGGTGAATTCCGGTGATTGTAAATAAATTCCGGTGATTGTAAATGATTTCCGGTAATTGTAAATGATTTCCGGTGGTTAGTCTACCCGGTGCCAACTTCAAGACTAGGGTTCAAGTGAACTTCACAGAAAGAAGCCGTAAGAAAGCTTATTTTTTTTCAGCTCCTTTTTAATGTTTTGTTAGAAATGACTCATTTCTAGACATTTATTACTACCCCGGTTCCGTAGGCCCATTATTAGCTATGAGAAGGTACGGCAGCTAAAAACGTTGAGATATCGTGGGTCTCCGCTTAAAGGAGCTAAATCGCTAACATTGGGGACCTAGAAATTGACAAAAGTGGGTCGCAACGCATATAATACTGTAATATGAATGTATATAAACAGATTTACATTCAGTGGTTTCCGTTTTTACTCCAATTTCAAATCAGTTATGTTCGGCGAAATAAGCCAGCAGTCTCAAGCGAGTGCAAATTTCTAGCATCTGGTTATTAAGTTTAACAGGTAAATATTCAACATCGTAATTTTGAAGACATCTTCACTTTAAATTTTGTTCATTTATTTCGAAGGAAAGATTGAATCTTATTTCCTTAACTCGAAAAATAGCTTTTTATTCTGGCCAGATATTCTCGGATTCGTAACAACGACCCTCTACAAATAGTATAATAGTTCATGTTGACCACAGTTGAAGTCACAAGGGGAATATTGAGGCTTTCAATATTATGTAACGGTAAACTGACTATGCCATTCAGTCCCATGTTTAACGCAACATTTCCATAACTTGTAATTTTCTTTTTATTCGACCGTAACGGATCGAGATAAATAGGTTCAACCATTTTACAGAAGAGCTGATATGCTGTTAATGCAAACTTGATTACATCGATGAGAGAAATCTCAATCACGGCATGTGATCAGGCAGACCGTTCAAACAATTGGTCGGAAATATTTAAAGATCCAGACGACGTAAACCCAGTTAAATGATTGTTGATATTACACCGTGAGATAGTTAACGGTGAGGCTAATATCTGCTTCATGACAGCTAAATGACTATTTGTAACTACTGATTCGTAACACGCATCAAAGACATCGTCGATAATGCGCGAATTATCAATAAATAAATCTGTGTTCACCGTATTTACAGGAACACCGTGAAGGGTCAATAATAATTCATCTTTGATGAAATTGATACACAGTTTAATTAGTTCTACTATGAACAAATTCATTTCTTGAAATAACCGCTTATCCAAATTTACGGGTCCAGTCAAATCATACACAGGAACGTCGAACTATTTATCTATGGTAGATCTATTTAACTCCACACACTTAAGTCTAGGAGGCTTTTCTTTTTGTTGCTCAAATAAACTATCGGAAATTGAATATTCCCCAGCGGTAAACTGCGTAACAACTAAAGTTGATAGACCGCGAAATAGAAGTCCCGTTTGACTATTTGATATCGAGCGCAACCAGTTCATAACTGAATTTTCAAACGCATGAAACTCGGGAACCTCTTTAATTTTTGACAGTTTCTCCTTTAACGCTCGACTGCGATGCTCAGAAAGTTTTGTCATCTTTCTTCCGGTATTTATTAACACAGTCGATACTTGATGACTTTGAGCTTTAAAATTAAACTGACTTATAGAATCTGAACGATCACTGTGGATAGACGCCGATGTAAATCCGCAAGTTACGTCAATTTTCGCGGAATCGATTGAGTCGATTCTTGGAATGACACCGGTTGCTTCGGTATCCTGGAACTTTTGATCACCCTTGCAGGAGGTGATATTTGTTACATCACCGTATAAATCGGTGTTAGTGAAACCGTTCGATGCCTTGGCGGTTTCAAAACTGGCGATCGTCCCGCGTCTATTTGACCCGTTCGTAGTCGAAGTTTCATCCTCGGACATCCCGACAGCTGAATCACTGGACAAACTTGGGACACAAGGCTTGCCTGCTTGAACGAGTTCAAGTTTTAATTCGTCTATTGCAGCTCATTCATGGACAACTTGTGGGTCGCACTTTAAATTCTCCGAAATAAGCTTGGAGACTGGAGTTTCTGCACTGGGCATTATTGCATGTGACCGATTAGTTCTTTCTGAGGAATTACAAATATCAGTTAACTGACGGCACTGATCAGTTAATTTGTCAATTTTATTGATGATGTCAGTACACGTACGATCCATCCTGTCCCAGCACTGCTCTATTTTGGACGAAGTCATTTTCTGTGATTCGGGAGTTTCGGCTCGGATTTTGGTTGCTGCCAGTACATTATCATTACGCCTACAACTAATTCTTTGGACCAGTGATGATCGATTGTGGAATCGGTTTGCGGCCTGAGACATTTCTGCACGACTAAAACATTTCTCAAGTTTTGTCATAAGCTCAAAGCATGTCAAATTACCATTCCGTGAAAAGACTATTCTATGAACATTGACCGCATATCCCTTTAAACAAAAGAACAACTGTTCCCTACATTCCTGGTCGGACCATCCCTGTGCTATGGCAAACCTGATAAATTTATTGGCAAAACTAGGCCAGTTGGAATAGCCATCAAAGAACAATGACTCTGGAATATTATAACACCGTTGAGATCGGTTGAATGGACTATTACCCGTATAAAACTGACGGGATATGGAATTGCCACCCGTGGACGACGGTGGAATATGTCGCCAATCTAGCCATGATGATCTCATTTTTTCATCACAATATCCTTAAATTAAGAGGAAACATGGCGAGGTAATCGTAAACAAAGTATCACTTCAATAAACATCTGTTGATATGCCCGTGCAGGCATGCATAAGAGCTGCACGTGCAACTCGCGGCCAATGAAGTTTCAATCTAATTCGATTAGGGTAGGACTACTGTGCAAAGCAATATATATTATATCCTTGTCCCCTTGTTAAATAAAAGGTTTTTTTTACCATACAACCATTTGTAGTGTCCGAGTGTATTTATCCAAGCCCCGCTTGGCATGTAAGGCGTCTGCATAAACTAACAATGTTACCTATTTTGAGTCTAAACATAATCTGAGCCGCTGCTATGGCAAAACAGCAATATATAGGTTAAATCCCGCTGGTAGCACGGGACTCTGTGGATAGGTGGAAGTAGTCCCGGTTATCCCGACGGACACCTGTATTATACAGGGCAAAATCACAACATAAACACCTGTGAATTTACGGACTGTTTCTATTTTTCTCGTGTTCTCTTATCTAATGACATTCAATTACTTTTTTGAATTGTCAGATATACTCTTACAGTCTCATATTAACAACTTTTGATCTTAGTGGCAGAAATTCACCCATGTATCTGTTATCACGCGTCACTTCAGCCAGTTTTATAGAGGGATAACTTGTGTTTTCCTTTTGCGTTCGTCACTTCCTATTGTTGAAACATTGATTACTCATCTATCGTAGCAATGATCTCTGTGAAAAAATAATATTTGGAACGTTTTTAACCAGTTCTATCACATATGTAATAATGACTGGCACCAATATTGTCCTTTAAAACCTCGTATATAGGGTTCCGCGAATGTTTCTAATTTTAGTATCATTTCCCACAATTCCTCGCGCGACCATTCTAGGAAGCTGCGTGATAAACAAATACTATCAATGACTTAATTGAACACTATGACTATACGAATATAATAGCACCCACGTTCTTTGCTTGGTCATTCTTCTAGTTTTCATGTGGACGTATATTGTCGTCGCCCCTGTCCGTCCGTCCACAATTGTTTGTGAACAGTCTACAGGTCACAATTTTTATCCGATTTCAACGAAACTTGAAATATAGGTTTATCACCCTAAGATCTCGGTTCCTTTCGATATTGGCATGTATCGGACTGTAACTTCATGGATTATGGCCCCTGATTGTACGAAAAAATCACGTTTTTAGCTTGTGAACACTGTAGAGGTCACAATTTTTATCCAATTTGGTTTAAACTTGAAATGTATGCTTATAACCCAAAGATCTTGGTTCCTTTCGATATTCGCGCATATCGGAACTTAACTTCCAGAATTATGGCCCCTGATTGTACGAAAAATCGCGTTTTTAGCTTGTGGACCCTATAGAGGTCATAATGTTTATCTGATTTTAAAAAACGTATTATATCACCGTTACACCCTAAGGACGGCTGAGTTCGTATTTCGTGAAAATCGGCCCAAAACTGACAGACAAATCGGCCGCCCTTCGTTCTCAAATAGCGTAAAAATATGGTATATCAAGGTTGTGGACCCTATAGAGGTCACAATTTTTATCCGATTTTGTTGAAACTTGAAATGTAAGTTTATAACCCAAAGATAAACCCAAAGTTTATAACGCGTCTTGGGTCCTAATGATCACCGGACATGTCTATTGGACAATAACATCCCTCTAAATGCGAAACAGGAGGTGTTTATCTCCTAATTAAATTTTAATCCGAATTCATCGAAACTTGAAATATAGGTTTATCACCCTAAGATCTCGGTTCCTTTCGATATTGGCATGTATCGGACTGCAACTTCATGGATTATGGCCCCTGATTGTATGAAAAATCGCGTTTTTTAGCTTGTGAACACTGTAGAGGTCACAATTTTTATCCGATTTTGTTGAAACTTGAAATGTAAGTTTATAACCCAAAGATCTCGGTTCCTTTCAATATTTGCGCATATTGAATTGTAATTTCCTGAATTATGGCCCTTGATTGTAGGAAAAATCACTTTCTTTTTAGCTTGTTCTCTATCCATCTCTCGAAAATGTGGGCGTATCCTGCCTGGCAGCCGCTGGTTAATAAATTTCCGACAACTATGGAGCATCGGTCTATCATAACTGCTTTACATGACGACTGTGTGACGTTTGGTGACAATTACATTCACAATAGACTGGTCAGACTGAAGACAAAGACTTGGAAGTTGGGTAAAAGTAAGGCTCAGTCCAATAAATGTATGAAGTCATACGCCGATTTTCTTGACACCCCAATTTTTTCCCGGGATAGTGGACGAGACTCCATCTGCAGATACTAGTGAAATTAATTTAATAAATAAAGAGACTCAGACATCTGCCGATGCGACCTTGACTGATTTAAATAGGAAAAATAGGTATTTGCGGCGTTTGTCAAAGTGTCATAAAAGCACAATCGCCCAGTTAAAAAGTTGACTTCGGAAGACTAA